ATCTATCCTTCCAAATGCAGGTTTAGTGTTTCCTTCATCTTTACAAGTATTGAATCTTAAATATAATCAATTGTCTCTGACCCTCAAAGGTGAAATCTTACCAATCATTCAATATCTTTTTCATCTTTACAAACCAGTCACAGTTTGGTCATCCTTCCAACTGAATTTCTCCTTGGATGTGTTGTGATAACAACTCTTGTTTTGAATCATTTCAGGCTACTCAAAAATTTGCGCATTAGTGAATCTCCGAGAGCTGGATTTGAGCATCAACGCTTTGACAAGTATGCCTTATTGTCTAGGTAACTTAAGCCGTCTTCGAACCCTTGATTTATCGTACAACCAATTGAACGGAAACCTGTCTTCCTTTGTGTCTGGTCTACCATCAACGCTTGAGTATTTGTCACTTCTTCACAATAACTTCAACGGTTCGTTCTGGTTCAGTTCACTGGTCAATCACACAAGACTAACAGTATTCAAATTGTCATCAAAAGCTGGTACGATCCAAGGTCTGACTGAGAGCTCGTGGGTTCCACTGTTTCAGCTAAAGATGCTAAGATTACAGAATTTCATTTTTGGCAGCACAATTTATGGATTTCTTGTTCATCAACATGAATTGTGCTACGTTGATCTCTCACATAACAACTTGACAGGAGCATTTCCGACTTGGCTTGTGCAGAATAACACAAGGCTGCATACGCTTTTACTAAATAACAATTTGTTGACAGAGCTTCAGCTACCTAAGCTTGTCCATGGCTTGCAAGTTCTTGATATCTCGAGTAACAGGATATACAATTCAGTTCAAGAAGACATAGGAAATGTCTTTCCAAAGCTGAGGTATATGAACTTTTCTTCAAATCATTTGCATGGAACCATTCCATCTTCCATGGGGGAGATGGAAAGTCTACGCTTCTTGGACATGTCTTCTAATGGTCTATATGGTCAGCTACCTAAATCATTTTTAAGAAGTTTCTTAAGCTCTCCAACAACCAATTCCAGGGGGAAATTTTTCCGGAGCATGCAAATCTTACCGGATTAAATTGGTTATATCTTGATGGAAACAGTTTTAATGGGAGCCTTGGAAAAGGTATGTTGAAGTCAATGAATCTTTTTGTTCTGGACGTATCAGAAAATAGTATCTCCGGCGACATTCCACTTTGGATCGGTAAAATGTCAAACATGAGGGAAAATAAGCTGGAAGGTCCTTTCCCTCATCAACTACAGAGTTTATCGCGGCTTTATTTGATGGACATCTCACATAATAGCTTCTCTGGCTCCATACCAAGGAATCTTGATTTTCCATTTCTCAGAGTTTTAAGACTACAAAGCAATGAGTTTATGGGCACAATTCCGGACGCTTTATTCAACGTTGAGGCTTTACTAGTGCTTGATTTGCGGAACAACAATTTTTCTAGAATGATTCTGAGCACTATTGGCAAGAGATCGAATTTACGTGTTCTGCTTCTGCGGAATAACAACTTACAAAGTCATATCCCGAAGAAAATATGTCAGTTGAGTAGAGTTGGTCTTATGGATTTATCTCACAACAAATTCAAAGGTGTGATACCATCATGTTTGGGTAACATGTCTTTTGGTGCAGAAAGATTTGACTATATCACAACAGTAGATGGAAACTTTGCGTTTTTAGACGGTACAATCTTGCAAAAGTGTCACTACGCATCACACCTTAGGCTTGATGATAGTGTTACCAATGGTTATCAAACGAAACCGGCAACCATCGTAGATTTTTTAACGAAAAACAGATATGAAGCATATCAAGGTAATATTATCAACTATATGTATGGGTTGGATTAAAAAGCATATCAAGGTGAGATTCCAGTTGAGATTGGAAACCTTAGAAACATCAGATCCTTGAACTTTTCAAGCAACCACCTCACAAGCTACATACCAGAAAGCATTTCAAAGCTAGAGAATTTGGAGAGTCTTGATCTATCTAACAATCAGCTAGATGGAAACATTCCTCCTCAACTTGCTGACCTCAGCAGTTTAGGATACTTCAACGTATCATTCAACAATTTGTCAGGTGAAATCCCTTTCAAAGGTCATCTTGTAACCTTTGGGGAAATGAGTTACATAGGTAATGCACATCTTTGTGGCCTTTCTATCAATAAAAGTTGCAACCATATCTCAGAGCCAAGTGCATCAAAGCAAGCCAAAGAAGAAGAAGAAGAGGTGATAGACATGGAGTGGTTTTATTGGACTTGTGGTGCGGTCTACGTTTCTACATCCTTGGCCTTGTTTGTGTTTCTCTGCATAGACTCACACTGGTCTCGAGAATGGTTTCATTGGGTCGATCTCTTGGTTCATTATTTTCAACGCTTAAAGGGTCCTTTCGACTGCAAATGATTTCATATGTCAACTGGTTTGATTCGTGTTGTATTATGTTTGAATAAGGACAATCTCAATACCTTTTGATTGTCATGTTTTGCTCTGTTTTTCATCTTTCGATATGTGGCTATATGCCCCTGTGTTCGGGTGTTATTGGGAGTTTTATTTGATAAAGACAAAGAAGAAGAAAAAGGTTATGCACCCAGGCAAGTTTACCCACACAAAACGAAATAATATTGTACTATTCATTGTCATTGAGATCAACAGATACAAGTTTAAGTGTTTCATTTTATCTCTTTTATTAATTTATCAGTAGTTCAGTACACATTATTTTTCGAGGCGTTTATTGTTCTAGTATATAAAGAGATGAAAGTACTGAGAGAAAATGAATACCAT